TATATATATATATATATATATATATATATATATATATTTATGTATATATATATATGTATATACACGTGTATGAACGTGTAACACTTTCATACATATATGAGTCCTTTTTAAATTGTACGCATCTTCTGACCTTCCGTCCTTTAATTTCCGTGATAACTACACTGCATATCAGACGTATCTCTTCATAACTAACTTCATATTGTATATCATACAGTCCTGTTATACTACGATCCTGGTCTCTTTTCTAGATATCGGTCGTCTCGTTGTTCACGACTGTGTGAATAGCGTGAAAGAAGACTTCAAGTGCGACCTTTGCCTCGCACGTTGTTATAATCGAGAACGAGTATAGCGTGCCGCTATACCGTGCCGATATTTACGAAAGGAAAGCCAGGATCGATGTCGGCGCTACGGTTTGTTTTTATTTCACGATCTCTCATAATTTTACGCTCCAAACGCTCTCTAAAGAATTACACATTAGCGTTGATACAAGGCGATATAAGTTATTAAATTACGCGACAAGTTTCACTTGCAAATTACAAGATATTATTGAGAGAAAGAGAGAAAGAGAGAGAGAAAGAGAGAGAGAGAAAGAGAGATAGAGAGAGAAAAAGAGAGGAAAGAAGAAATCACTCCCTTTTTTTCTTCTCAGTGAAACTTCATTGTCCTTGTGACAATATTAATAATCGACCATTGATGTACAGTGTCGTATTAAAAAATACAAGGGGAAACACGTGCTAGTCGAGTTGTTCGCGTGCCTTTTTGGAGAGCGTATCAAAATTTATAATTTACCGTGATAAAAAAATGTATCTCGTTTACCGATACACCCAACATATGCTCGGCGTGGTGTTTCACAAATACTCGCGACACTACTATTGTCTTAACCGATGTCTGTCCTCAACACGCTGATCCCACGACGAAGCCACGGGTCTGCTAATGTCAGCTCTTAATTTCAGACGTTGAAGACGTCAAGTTTGTCATCAATTTTGACTACCCTTCCTGTTCCGAAGATTATGTTCATCGTATCGGTCGTACTGGCCGTCGACAGAAGACCGGCACAGCCTACACCTTCTTTACCCCCAGTAATTCGAACAAGGCCAACGATTTGATACAAGTGTTGAAAGAGGCGAATCAGGTGATCAATCCGAAATTATTGGAGATTGCTGATGGCAAAGCCGGCGGATACGGTAGACACAGAGGTACTTGGTCGTCTTTCTCTACAACAAACGGTTTCGAAAACGGCTCAGCGAATCTGTTCGAAGCTCTTAGAAGCGACAAAGTTTGATTAGTTGTGAAGTTTGTAATTGGACCGAACGAGTCGACATGTAGTAACTCGGCTCACTTGACAAATAAGGATCCATTCATGGTCGGATTGGTATCGGCAGGTGGCAGAAATCGATGGCGATCCCGAGGCGGCCGCAACGGAAAGGAGCGCAGCTATTCGAGAAGTAAAAGTCGGAGCCACAGTAAAGAACGTAACGGTCGCAGCAGTCGGCGGAGCTACAGTCGTAGTTATACGCGTAGTCGTAGTCCAATCAACCGTACAGGTCGGTAGGTCGTAGCTGTTTCCTAAACGAAGGACCATTAGTCCCACACAAAACATTCGATACTAACGAGACATTCGTCTGTTTCCTCAGAGGTTATCGGCAAGAGCTACTGGAGTAGTGAGAGATGATCTTCCAGCGGCGTGTAAGACTTCGCGCCAACGTGATCTTTTCTTTTCTTTTTTTTTTTTTTTTTTTTTT